AAATATTAAGTGACCTATTATTAAGTGCCAGAAGATGTGACAAACATTTTACATATATCCTCTCATTCATATGACATATGAAGCAACTAGAACAGTGGCTGGCTTGAAGTAGGTGCTCTAGAAATGGCAATAATTATTGATAGCAAAAAATGAGGTGGGTGTGTTGTTGTATGGATCAAGGGAATTCATATTCTATCAGAGGACCCGGACCAGCACAGGCCATTACCATTGATATAAGGACCATGATAGGGAGTACAGGGGAGAAGCATTTGATCAAGCTTGGAGGGGGTCAGGGACAATTCCTGGAGGTGAGCTAAGCTGACCTGGAGAAGAGTGGACTGACCAGGGGGAGGCACTCCAAGCACAGGGATGATCATTCATTATTCATCCAAGCGTTCACCCACTCAACAAGTAGGTATTAAGCGCCGTCTTTGTCCCAGGCGCTGTCCCAGGTGCTGAGGGAACAGAGGTGAACAGGACAGGCAACATCCCTGCCCTCACTCATGGGCCTGACAGTCTAGTAGGGGAGGCAGATCATCAACACGGAAGCAAACATGTAAACAAGGTGCTCTCAGATGGGGATAACTGCTCGGATGAAAATAAGACTGGGGAATGGGGTTGTGATCAAGTAGGAAGTGGGGGTACTGTAGTTAGGACAGTCAGGAAGGCCTCTATGGGAAGGCGAGGTTTGAATTGAGACCCAAAGGAAGGGAGGAAAGTAGCCACGCAAAGACCTGGGGGAAGAGCACCCCAGATGGAAAAGACTGAATAGACAATGATCCTGAGGTGGGAATGGGCTTGGTGTGTTCAACAAACAGCAAGAAGGAAGGACAGGGTTATTATTATAAGATGGGGTTGAAGAGGTGGGCCATGGGAGGAAGTCTGGAATTTGTCCAAAGTGTGATGGGAAGCATACACTAAGGTGAAGGCTTGTGACAAACCCTGGCTTCTTCAACATACCAAATGGAGTAGCTAGGCTGAGATGAGACTCGATGGGTGGAGAAAGTGGAGAGGGAAGCCACAGCCCCATCATGATGTCCCCCTCAATGCTTCCAGCCCAGCTGCGCCTACAAGATTAACTCCCTTCCCCAGATAGATTCACCAAACATTTCCCAACACCCCTAAGAACCTTCTCGGTGCCAGGTGTTGCATTAGGAGCTTTCATGACTGTTGTCTCATTGAACTCACAGGAGCAGCCCTGGAGGGAGGGATCATTGCCCCTACTTTACAGATGACAAAACTGAGGCTTGAGAAGGCGAAGCCACTTGTCTGGACCACTCAGATGGTTGGTGGGGGGAGCTGGAATACAAATTCAAGACCCCCAATCTGTTCTGCCACCTCTCACCTTCTCCTTCACCTCCTTATGAATGTTGGGTTCTTAAGACGCAGAATTCTAGAAAATTCTTGAGGGTGGGAAGGAAAGGTCCTCTAAATGGCTCCCCAGCCAGGAGATGGGCTGGGGCTGGGGTAGGGGAATGTACTCCCCAGGGCGAGTCCCTTTCCATTAATCCCACTTCCCTGCATGGTGAGAGAAGGGGTTTTCCGTGAGTAGAATCACCGTGGGAGTGTGATATGTGGCAGGGAATACAAAGGCAAGCAAGGTTTTCCTTCTGCCCTGATTGGGCGGTTTGTTCTCTCAAACCTTCTGGCCAGGCTTCCCAAAATGTCCATTCATGTTAATCTCATGAATTGCAGTGGTTGCGGCTTCTTCCCTAGCATACTGGTAAGATGGGCAGACGTCAGCAGATGCCAGGACTCGTAGAGAGCCAAGTGTTCAGGCCAGACAGATCTGGATTTGAACTCCAGCGCCACCACTGACTAGCTGTGTGGCCTTGGGCCAGCGTCTTCACCTCTTCATGCCTCAGTTTCCACATCTGGCAACTGGGCATAGAATCATGTTCTTTGTTGAAGCCCACGAAGTGCAGTGAAAACCAAATGAGGTAATGTACCCACAAAAGAAAGCCCCTCTGGACTATGAAAGGTTAAGAAAATACGCCCAGGGCAAGGATGTCCCCCAAGAACTATCACCAAGGGCTCCAGCATGGTACAGGGAGAGGCAGTACGGTGAGCAGAAGCTCTGTCACTTACCTTGGGCTATGTAACCTTGGGCTATTACGTAGCCTCTTGGTGCTCAGTTTCCTCACCTTTAAAATGGGAATAATATTAGTACCTACCACATAGAGTGATAAGTAAATAATTCAATACATATGAAGTGCTTAGAACACATTGGCATATTGTAAGTGCTCAGTACATGCTCCCTGTTTTTATTTTCATGTGAATTTAACAAAAACCAAAAAGAGGCTTTGGAGGAGGCTTGGATTTTGAGCTTTGACAGACATGGGGTTCATAACCCAGCTTGGCTGTTTAAAACTGTGTGACCTCGGGCAAGTTACTTAATGTCTCTGAGCTTCAATTTTCTCATCTGTGAAATGGGGGTGGTAATGAAACCTACTGTGTATCTAGAGCTGTATGACAGCAGCTTCCTACGAAAAACTGATACATGATGGCTGATTTCTATTATATTGTTTATATAGTTGTTGTTGTGTGCTGTCCAGTCGATTCCGACTCATGGGGACCCTATATGACAGAGTAGAACTGCCTCATAGTTTCCTAGGCTAAAATCTTTACTGGAGCAGGTCACCAGCAGCTGGATAGGTTTAAACCACTGATCTTTTGGTTAGCAGTCGAGCACTTAACCATTGCGCCACCAGGGCTCCTTTACACTACACTACACTACACATTGTTAGCTTCTATCTAGTCAGCCCCTGGCTCATGGCGACCCTGTGTGTTACAAAGCAGAGCTGCTCCACGGGGTTTTCTTGCCTGTATTCTTTACAGAAACATCACCAAGCCTTTCTTCCATGGAACCTCTGAGTGGGTTAGAACTGCCATCAGTTAGCAGCCAACTGCAAACCACATGCACCACCTAGGCTTATTATACTATTCTATACTATTACTATACCATACCGTACCATACTATATTCTATCATACCATACCATACTATATTCTATCATACCATACCATACTATATTACTGTCATGGATTGAATTGTGTCTCCTAAAAATGTCTGTCAACTTGGCTAGATCATGATTCCCAGTACTGTATGATTGATTTCCTTGCGTGTTGTAAAACCTATCACTATAATGTAATAAGATGGATTAGTGGCAGTTATATTGATGAGGTCTACAAGAATAGTGTCTTAAGCCAATCTCTTTTGAGATATAAAAGAGAGAAGAGAGCAGAGAGACATGGGGACCTCATACCACCCAGAAAGCAGCACTGGGACCAGGGTGCATCCTTTGAACCTGGGGCTCCTGCATGGAGAAGCTCCTAGTCCAGGGGAAGATTGATAACAAGGACCTTCCTCCAGAGCCAACAGAGAGAGAAAGCCTTCCCCTAGAGCTGGTGCCCTGAATTCGGACTTGTAGCCTACTGGACTGTGAGAGAATAAAATTCTCTTTGTTGAAGCCATCCACTTGCAGTATTTCTGTTATAGCAGCACTAGGTGACTTAGACAATTACTACTATTCCCTCCATCCCCAGATGCTCACCCCTCTTACCTCGCTCCTCCTCCTTCTCCCGGACAACCCTTCCCTTGAGGGCTCGGCTCCAGGCTCCACCGTAGTCGCCCAGTTTGGCTCTCTCATTTCCATCCTTGCCCTTGAACCAGGGTCCATACCTGCGGGTGATGCTCGGAGCTTCGCCCGTGTCCCGGAAGCCCCTGCCCAGATGCAAGTCGCCCAAGAAGGGCAGCTCAGCGCCCTCCGCAGGAGCTCCTGCAGCAGGGTTGGCCTGGTTTTGAGAAACGGCAGGCTGGCCCACGAAGCCCGAGTGAAAGAAGACAAGGCTCCCGGCCGTCAGGTAGAGCACCAGGAAGGTAAAGAAGCGCACAGGTTTCCGGCGGAAGTACCGCTGGAATTTGAACCAGAGCTTGGCCATAGCGGGATCATTCCGGACTGGCCCACTGGGCTTGGCTGGGGGCCGGGGAAGGGGTGGAGGGGGACTTGGTTTCCCAAGCCTCTCTTAAGGATGGAACCCCTGGGGGTCTTCAGTCTTATCCCCTCTGTGAAGGTGACTGCCACGACCAGAGGCAGAGGGGATTCCAGCCTTTGGCTGAGGCCAAGAGAAAGGAGAGAGCCCACCACCCTCCCTGAGGTCAAGGTGAGCTTCTGGGTCAAGAAAGGGGTTTAGAGGCTCGGGACACCCCAAAGCAGGTCCCATTTTCCTACATCTTGTTCTTCACTTCAGAGACTTCCCAAAGAACTTTGAAAATAGCAATTGGAGGGGGATTCCGAGGGTCAACAGTAGCTGCAGCTCCCTTCTCTTTCCGTTTCTGCTCCTCGGGCCTGTGGGGGCCGCATTACTTCACTGTGGGCCCCATTTCTGGCCTCGTATCCAGCTGGGGATCAAGCTCGGCATGTCCACCTCGTGGAAACAGAAGCTGGGGAGTTTCCATCTGGTCAAGTCTCAGGGCTCAGGGCTGCCACCTGCAAAACAGCACAGACACAGGCATGAGAAGTCTCGTTACCGAAGCACAGAGCTCGAAGGTTCCTGAGGGGAAGAAAGCAAAGGTGCAGAGTGCATTAGGAGCAATGCTAGGAACCCTGTCCTGAATCTTCTGTCATTTTCACTAAACCAACTGCGAATGTGGGGGCTTTAGTCTTACTGGGCCCTGCTCTTGGGACAAACTTTATCTTGGACAAGCACAGGGTTTTATGGGCTGGTAGGATAATTTGACCCACACCTCCTATTTGTCAAATATACAATTATCTGTGGGTTACTTTAAGTCCAAAAAGCACTTCCTAGGTGTTTGCTGACCCTTTTCTATACCAAATAGTATGTTCTTTTCTAGCAACTGTTTACCCATAAGTCTTTCATTGACTAATTTTCAGAAGTAGATTACCAGGCCTTTCTTCCTAGTGTGTCTTAGTCTGGAAACTCTGCTGAAACCTGTCTACTGTGGGTGACCCTGATGGTATTTGAAATATTGGTGGCATAGCTTCAGGCATCATAGCAACACGCAGGCCATCAATCACAGTATGACAAATGACAAGTAGAAGGTCAACAAAAACAAGGGAAACCCTCAATGAGTTGGATTAACACAACAGCTGCAACAATGGGCTCATACATATCAATGATCATGAGGATGGCGCAGGACTGGGCAGCATGTTTTACGTAAGGTCACCCTCAGTCAAAACCAACTCGAGGGCAACTAACAACAACATATCTTTGCTGAACTGCCTGCTGGACCTGGTTGAATCTGAACCAGATCAAATTTATTCATTTTCCCAACAAATATTAAGTGAGACCCTCCTATGTACCAGGCACTGTCCTAGGCACTGGAGATAAAGTTGTGAAGGAAGTCCCTTCCTTCATAAGGCTTGCTTCTAGTAGGAGAGATCAAATCCACAGGCCCTTTCCTCTATCCCCAGAAGAAAAGAAAAAGGAAACTAAATTGGATCATTTAGCAACATGCCCATCCATTCATTATTTATTGAATATCTACTGTGTGCCCAGTTTTGTGCCAAGCCCTCTACGTAAAAATTTCCCAACATTCCCACCAGAGGTAACTATCTCCCCATTTTACAGATAAGGGAACTCAGATCACACAGCTGGTAAGTGGTAGAGCTGAGATTTGAACCCAGGCCTGTCCAAATCCCAAACCACAGCTCTTAACCAGTCTTAAAAGGGACTCTGCCCTTTTCCCACATGGTCTGGACATCATTTGGGAACTCAGAGACAGTGCCCAAAGCAGCAGCCTCACCTGCACCGCCTCTCAAGGCCATCAGTGGCTCATCCTCCATGCCAGAGCCTCTCAGAGTACCGCACGAGAGCATCTGATCAGGAATCACCTAGAAGGCTGGTTAAACATGACAATTCCTGGCCTTTTCAGCCAGAATCTCTTGTTGAAGGGGAAACCTACAGGTGTAACAAGGTGCCCTCGGGTGATGGTAATGAGCACAGAAGGCTGAGAACCCTGATTTATGAATAAATGTTCAGGACCATCAGCCAGAAGGAAAACAGAATGTAAATTTGAAAACTGAAGGAAAATGCCACGTGGCTCATGCTGTTCCATACTACCACCAGCAGGGGGCTCCATGACAATTTTAGCCAATACATCTGATTCTACCTCTTGCCAATGGACCATTTGAACCGTAGCGGCCCCTCCTAATCCAGACAGCAGCATGGGAGTTTACCTGTGGTTCAAGGAAGACTGCCAATCCTACATGTGCCATTCATTCAGTAACTAAGGACTGAGATCCTACTATGCACCAGTCATCATTCTAGGCACTTAGAATAGATAAGTGAACATACCAGACAAAAATCCATGCCCTTTTAGAGTGAATCCATCCATCCATCCATCCATCCATCCATCCATCCATCCAAACTGTAACAGCCCATCTATTCATCCAAACACTCCATCAACCCATTCATCCACTTAGAGAAAAATTGCTCCATTCATTTAAAAAACATGTGCTGAATGCCTACTGTGGGTGTACTTGGGATGCAGAAACAAATAATTCTGAGAATTTAGTGCCTACTGGTGGAGAAAGAAACTTAAAACAATCATTATACTAGGTAGACAGTGATAAATCCTATAGTAGACGTATGTACAATATATAGAACAGCAATTAATAGCTAATGTTTATTGAGCACTTATTATGTGCCAGACACTGTTCTAAACACACACTTTTTTTTTTTTATTGTACTTCAGGTGAAGGCTTACAGAACAAATAGTTTCTCATGAAACAGTAGTACACATGTTGTTTTATGACATTGGTTAACAACCCCGCAACATATTAACCCTCTAAATTCTCAAACTTTTTTTTTTTTTTTTGGAAAATACACATACCCAAAGATACACCATTTTGAAAATTTCTACATACACAGTTCAGTGACACTGACTACGCTCTTCCAATTGTGCTGTTATTCTCACTTAAGATGAAGGCTTACAGAACAAAATAGTTTCTCATTTAACAGTTACTACAAATCTTGCCCTGTGACAATGGTTAACAATCTCACAACACATCAACAATATCCTTACTCAACCTTGTGTTCCCTATCACCAGCTTCCTTGTCGCTTTCTGCCTTCTGGCCCTTGTCACTGGACTCCTGTACCTCGTTAGTCTCATTTGGTTTTATGGGGCTGTCCACTCCCAGGCTGAACAGTGAACCTGGGAAGTAACTTCACCACTGAGCTAAAAGGGTGTCTGGGGGCCATACTCTCGAGGTTTCTCCAGTCTCCTTTAGGCCAGTAAATCTGGTCTTTTTTTTTCGTGAGTTAGAATTATGCTCTACATCCTTCTACAGCTCTGTCCAGAACCCTCTGTTGTGATCCTGGTCAGAGCAGTCAGTGGTGGTAGCCGGGCACCATCTAGCTGTACTGGACTCAGTCCGGTGGAGGCCTTGGTAGCTGTGGACAATTAGTCCTTTGGACTAATCTTTTCCTTGTATCCTGTTCTCTTCAGTCTCCCTTGCTCCCAAAGGGGTGAGACCAGTGGAGTATCTTAGATGGCCGCTCACAGGCTTTTAAAACCCCAGACACTACTCACCAAGGTAGAATGTAGAGCATTGTCTTTATAAGCTGTGTCATGCCAATTGAGCTAGATGTTCCCCGAGACCATGGTCCCCACAGCCCTCCGCCCAGCAGTTCAGTCCCTCAGGGAGTCTGGATGTGTCTATGGGGCTTCCATGACCTTTCTTTGTACAGGTTGTGCTAGTTTCCCCTGTATTAACACACACATACTCTTATTTAATCTCCATAACAACACTATCAGGGAGATACTATTATATGTTTCTACTTTGAGGAGGGGAATGAGGATCAGAGAGATTAAGTCACGCGTCTGGGGTCACAAAGCTGGGTTGTGAACCCAGGAGCATCTGACTTCACATGGAAAAGGAAGGAAAGTTGGATTATTTGGCAACCTATTCATTCATTCAGTACTTACTGAGTGCCTTCTATGTGACCAGCCCTCCGCATAAAACTTTCCCAACATTTCCTTCAGAGATAACTATCTCCCCATTTTACAGATAAGGAAGCTCAGGTCACACAGCTGGTAAGTGGTAGAGCTGGGATTTGAACCCAGGACTGAACAAATCCCAAACCACAGCTCTTAACCACTGCCTTGGGGACTCTGCCCTTTTCCCACGTGGTCCAGACATCATTGGGGAATTCAGAGACAGCCCCTAAGCAGCAGCCCCATCTCCACTGCCTCTCACTGCCAGCAGTGGCTCACCCTTTACACTCCTATTCCTAATCATGCATCTCTCCTGGTCTTAAAACATCCCTTTGACTCTAATAAAAACTAAAGGCGCGTGCCCAGAGAAGAGTCTCTGCACATAAGCTCACAGCGTCTGGCTTACACTGCAGAGGGTTTGTGGACCCCAGGGAGAGGAACCTGGAAAAGTGGGAGCCCAGGTGATATGGGTTGAATTGTGCCCCCGCAGAAGATATGCTGAAGTCCTAACCCCTGGTACTTGTGAACGTGACCTTTATGGAAATTGGGTCTTTGCAGATGTAATCAGTTATTGGAGTAGGATAAAAATCCGCTGTCGTCGAGTCGATTCCAACTCATAGCGACCTCATAGGGTTTCCAAGGCTGTAATCTTTACAGAAGCAGACTGCCACACTTTTCTTCCGCGGGGCAGCTGGTGGGTTCGAACCACTGACCTTTTGGTTAGCAGCTGAACACTTTAACCACTGTGTCACCAGGGAGAGACACAGAGAGAAGACGGCCGTATGAAGATGGAGGCAGAGACCGTAGTTAAGCTGCCACAGGCCAAGGGACGCCTGGGGCTACTAGAAGCTGGAAGAGGCAAGGATGAACCTTTCCCTAGAGCTTTCAGAGAGAGTATGGCCCTGCCAACACCCTCAATTTGAACTTCTAGCCTCCAGAACTGTGAGAGAATACATGTCTGTGGTTTTAAGCCACTTAGTCTGTGGTACTTTGTTATAGAAGCCACAGGAAGCTAACGCTAGAGAAGCAAGTATCTGGGGGGAATCAGAGAGTGCTTCCTCCTCAAGGACAGGTCTTTGTGCTGGCAGGTCTTGCAAGAGGAATCCAAGTTCTCTGGGCGGAAGAAGCAGCCGAGGGCATTCCCGCAAGAAGGAACGGTACACACCAGGGGCAGGCATGGAGGGGATGAGGAGCTTGGGAGCATGGTGAGGACACAGCTGAAGCAGTGGGCAGGGGTCAGACCGTGGGGAGCCCTGAATGCCAAGCTCAGGGGTCTGAACTTTGTTCTAACAGCCACTGAAGTTTCCTAGTCACACCGAGACTTTCGAAAGACTATGCTCCCGAAAAAAAAAAAAAAAATGAACCTACTGCTATTGAGTCTGACTCATGGCAACCCATAGGGTTTTCTTGGCTGTAATCTTTATGGAAGCAGTTTGCCAGGCCTTTCTTCTATGGAGCCGCTGGGTGGGTGTGAACCTGCAACCTTTAGGTTAGCAACCAATTGCAAACCTCTTGTGCCACTCTTGTAT